GATATAGTTAAACATCAAAGACACGATCCTACTGTTAGCAACTTCAGTGCACATTTACCAGTTCGTCTGCTCTCATCGAGCCTCAGTACATAGGCCGTACGAATAAGACATTATCCAGACGTGTCCAACGGCATGAGTGTAGAAAGGAGAACTTAGAAGAGTCAACACCACACTTCTGGAGCATATCATTACTTCTGCTCATCCAGCATCAGCAGAGACTTCTTTCCCTGTCATATATATATATATATATATATATATATAGTACGGTCAAGTAATTCTGAGGAATTTCACCTGCATCCACTTCATATGTTCAACGTCTTAGCAATCCTTATAGAAAACTTGACCTCTGTGTTCTGAAACTTTACATACAGCCACTTCTATTAGCTTGTCCTTGGCACCATTTTCGCCTTTATCTGTCTTGTGGGTTCTTTATCTTCCTGAACAACTGTATAAAAAGCGCTATGTATTCCATTTTGTGTGTTCTGCAATTCTTATACAATCTTTTGTATTGGTAGAAGTTAGAATTCACGAGCCATTGAATCGGGTTCCAGTGGCTGAATGGTATACGAGCTTGCCTTGTAACCGGAAGGTCCTGGGTTCGAAACCCAGTGGGTGCGTACTGCCGATGATTCCCAAACTAGGATGAAACAGCAGCTGTCCAGTACTCCCTGGTTTTCAATGGTTCTCTAACTGATATCAATCCGTGATCAACTCGTAAAACAATCTTTTGTTCTTTCCTTTCTTCTCGACTATTCCCAACAGCATATTCGCCAATTAAATAACAACTAGCTGTCGACCCTCTTGATTTTGAAGGATTGTTCTTAGTTTCTCAAACATAGATTTATTTTTTATTTTTTATTTTTTATTTACAGCTTGATTCCACACCATATTTTTGGTACAAGTATGGAATTTTCAGCATGGATATTGGTAGCCCAAATTTTTCAGGCCAACCATAGATATCAGGTGTGCGCCGGCGTGGGCTCGAACCCCGGACCATGTGCATGGTCGGTAAGAGTCCTAACCACTGTACCACCGACGCACATATATATATATATACATATATATGATATAACTCATGTTCTTTGATTTGCTCTGTTACTGACTGAAAATGATGTTTGACGTCTGTTGTCAATCTACAATGCATATACAACAACACCTAAACACCTGTAGAGATTTGAAGTGAGGTTAGCCGCGAAAAAGATCTCTTTGCTGAATCATATATCCATAATTGGCATATGTATATATATGTAATTATAATATATTAACACGTATACAGGGACAGTGATTGGTGACTTGAATGTCAGTGAGTGAACACACATGCACATACACATCTGTGAGATGATATGAGTAGCCTCAAGCCTGCTAATTTCTTTGCATTTTTAGTGGAAAGAATCGCTTCTAACTTTTACGTTTGAGTGGCGATATTGTAATTCGCACAGTTCAGAGTTGCGTACCCACACATTCAAGCTTTTTTCGTTACTAAGTTTAATGCAGATTAACAAATTACATGAGATCTTTGGAGTATGTCATCCGTGAATCCAACATGGACTATGTGAATGGATGGCAAGCATTCTGCAATGGAAAAAATGTTGGGAAAATTGATCCTCACGAACGGTATAATCACACTATTGGTGCTTATTTGGATGTTTCAGCTAACTTTTAATTATTATTTATGCATGTCTTATCTCTAAGTATAATGTCTCTCTTTGTGGTTGTGGGATGATTCAACTATGAACAATCGTGTTTGTTGGCGTTTTTTGAGCATTTTGTGACTGTGAATGTGTCTCAAGGATGCTTCAGACAACCATGCAGTAGTTCACATAGATCTGTTTCCTGAGTTCATATAACAACTAGTCGTTTCTGTTAGTAACACATGTGACTACGGAACAACCTTCGTACGAAAATGTCACATACGTCTTGGTGAATAATTTCAGCAATTTAATAACTTAGTTACCCCACAGCTTTAAAACAACGAGACACAAATTGCTTATCTTATATGTCATGTAAACTATGTTGCCTGGGATTAAATGTTTTGGGAATAAGAATTAATTTTGACCGCTTAAAAATCCTATTTTGTTTAATGTTTTAACGAAAATAAGTGATTTTATTTAAACATTAGTGAGCATGTATATGTATACCTTTCATAGGAAGACAGCAGCATCATGCAATGCAGATGAAGATAAATAAAATAAATGAATAAATTTTTGGTTTTATATCAAAAACAGTACTAATGATACAGCAAGGAATTTTCAGCATTCAGTAAAATATTGCATCCAATTTACTCAAAAACGACAAAAAAAATTAAAAATACACATTACATAACAGTAATAAAACGATTGTTATAGCAGCCACATAGCAAAATACTGTATGCCATACGGAGAAAAATATGTATAAAGTACAAAATTGTAGTAATAATAGCAGAGTAACAATTAAACAATAGAAAGTGTGACACCATAAAATTCTGAAAGATGAACGATGAAAGGGCCGATTCACTGTGCTAATTACATAGGAACTTGTAAGTTTCACGTCTAACAGAGTCTTCGTCACATAAAGTACGGGCTAAATACGGTATTGTAGGATTTCTATACTTGGTGGTACGAGCATATAACTTTTTATATTGACTTCTCGTCCCACCTGATGAGATACAAGGGGACAGGTGTGAATAAAGGGGGTGCAGATGGTCTGACATTATAGCCTTTGCCCATTTCGTACAGGAATTTATATGCCTCTCGACTATAGTATTGGCGAGCTCATGCAGTGGCAGACCACAAGCTCTACTCACAGCATTTAATACTCTTCGTAATATGATATAACCTTTTTTGAGAAGCCCAGGAAAGATTAGTGGAGAGCAATAGAGTACAATAGGTAAAATACAGTTGACATATAGTTGACAAACCCTGGTCGTGTAGCTAAATTGAATAAAAAAAGTGAAGAAGATTGGGATGAAAGATGAAAAACAATTCAATGACACATTGGCGAATGAAGCGGAACAGGCTGCAGGTGAAAGGGACCTCAGAGCATCGTATGAAACAGCTAGATGTCTATACAGTAAGAGGACAATGGAGATAACACCAATAAATATGGTCATGGAAACCTAATTACCAAAGAAGTGAGACACATAAAGCAATAAGCTGATCACCTCAAATGATTCTTGAAGTGACCACCACTTGTCAATCGTCCAGAAGCGACACAAATAGCGGCTATGGAACCGGCAGTGGATACCAATCCTCCAACAAAATCAGAAGTGTTGAGTGCAGCCAAGCTGATGAAGTTCAAGAACGGAAAAGAACAGGACGGAAGTCCACCTGAAGGCCTCAGCCAATTAGCTCACTCCACTACTGATGAAAAAGTTTTCGAAGGAAGAAAAGGTGTCCAGTGGCTTGAAGAAAGGCTTTCTTGTGGAATTACCAAAAGAAGAGTAACCTAGACCTTTGCAAGAAGTGGTGCGGAACCATGCCCATTTTCACGCCAAACAAGGTGTGTTAGAATGGGGAGGGACTGGAAGATGCGTTGGATGCAGAACTCCGCTCGGAACAAGCTGGATTCAGAAAAGACAAACTGTGTACTGATCAGATTGCTTCTCTACACATCAGAATCGACTTCGAAAAGGTCTTCGACAAACAGTGTTGACCAAGAAGTAATTTGGAAAGTACATGAACACCATGAAGTGCAGTGCTCTAAATATTTACCAACTTCATGGAATAGCTGTATGACACTGCTACCTGTCAGGCTATCAAAAATGGAAAACTTTTTGGGGCGTTTGAAGTGCATACAGGAGTAATACAAGGCTGCCTATTATCACGGGTACTTTTCATGATCATGGTAAACTGGATTATACATCAAATTTTGTGGAGTGAGAGGACAGGAATACACTAGACCGTCAAGGGGACTCTACAAGAAAACCAACGACTTATGTTCAGTGGTACACAAGCTCTAAGACACACAGGCGAAAACCAACAACCCGGCATAAGAGGCTGGAAGTCAGCGAATACGGGACTTCAAGTGGAAATAGAGAAAACAACAAGCACTAATCATCAGTCAATCAAACTGGAAAATATCTAATGAGGTCACTTCCACCACTTATTTAGGGGACAGTGTTTCAACTTCAGGCGTTGGCACAAATGGGAACATCAGAGCAAGAGATAAATCGGATACATACCACTGAGGAGACCATCTGATGACACAGCGTTCGAGTCCAGAGACTTCTGATTAGAAGTCATAACTCATTGGCTTCTTCATCAATTCTAATGCCTAGCAATTTGTTATTTTGACGTGACTGACACCAGCCAATACCATCGGCAAGAAATAGCTGTAATTCACAGGGCATTAGGTCGAATCTCAGTGGTTGAATGGTGAATAACCTTACCGTCAGTAGTTGCATGCTGCCGAGGAAAGAGCTTTCCGGTATTCCCTTCTGGTGTACAACGAATCAGATCTCCAAAAATTAGCTCCTGAAAAGTAAGTACTCATTTCTCTTAGACACAACATGTTTATTCTTGTGGTAGATTCGAGTGAATGATTAACCTTCAAAATGTATACCACAACAATCGATGCTGGTCACTCAGTCAGTCAGTCAGTCGGTAAATCGATCAATCAATCAATTATAATTGTTACAATCTAAAGAAATCAACAACAACAACGTAAATTATAAGCAACTCTTATTATGCTTTACGAAAGCATGTTTAACCATGCCTTTCTCGAAAAATGGATACACTTGCATCATTTTTTTTATGTAGCTATGTAGAAATCAACATTTCAAAGACATTGAAAATGAAAACAAATATGTTAAAAAAACAAATAGGAGTCTTCAGTGAAATGTCTTCTTGTGTTTCATAATGGCCGTGTGAGAAAACAAAACCAGCTTATGTAGTAGGCAAGTAACACAATAAATAAATTAATAAAAGCAAATTATCTGATTGGTCTATTCATATGGACCAATCAGAAAAGCAGCACTTTCAATATTTCCAACTGACATAAAGATATTTATACAAACGTATATATTTATTTATTTATTTATTTAAATTATGATAAATGTGAACCAATAACTGGAAAAGGTTAAACATTTCAACGAAATTATTAATCACGCAAAGTTAGTCAGAGTGAAATTTTAAAACACAAGCTAAGACAGTAACTTTAGAAGTTTCTTGTGTGAAACAAAACACCCAAAATAGACTTTAAATGAAGGCGAAAATGAAGAACTTTCTCATGGAATACATTTAAAAGATGTACTGTCTAGTATTATCAACTTTCTTCTCATTTATTGAACATTGAGCATGATAATTTCTTGATTACTTATTGATTTATTGATGATTAACTTAATGATAAGTGAATTTTCAAATAGAATGTATACAGTTCTCCTGGAATAACAATGAATACGTGAGTAATCCATTAAAAATGTATATATATATATATGAGTTGTATTGTTGTTGCTATATATTGCTTTAAGTATTAATAATATGTATAAATGTGAAATTTTTAAATCCTCAGTGGTAACGTTTCTGACTACAGTATTAGGTGACGCTAGTTTATATCTCGGAGGTAGTGGTGTGAGTTCCTTCGAGACTACAGTTATACGCCCTGCTTATCACTGGTGAGTTCCATCAATAATAGCGAAACCTAGGTCAAGCAAAACTTCTTGTGGTCGGCTACCCCCAACCATCTAATAATAATAATAACAGTCATCTGTACAATCGCATTTACATTTACAAATACATAAGTTCACATGGTTATAATTATTATTTATTTACGTATCATAACGAAGGCGATTAAAATCGATAATAATTTTTAACTTAAAACAAGCAATAAAGGTTAATAAAGCAGGATTTAATGAATTCATCAAATTTCAGTAGAACTTTTTTAAGTTTCTAAGAACTTTATCTAAGTGATGTAATTGAAGCATAATGCAATTTATCTTAATTTTGATCTTTCATACTCTCTCTCTCTCTCCTTATCTATTTGAACATGACCTGGAAAACATTCGCACCTGTCTTTCTGCATGATTAATTCAATGTAGTTTGTTTACTTATCAGCCTTATATCTCCCAATGTAATTTCAAAAGTATATATATTCGTGTATGTAGAGTATTCAGCTGACGAGTTCTACCGAAATTTGATGAATACATCATTAAATCCTGTTTTATTAACCTTTATTGCTTGTTTTAAATTCGTAGCGGGAAATAAATGTTTTCAATTTTTAACTTGATATCAAAGTTTAAAGGTATGAATGTAGAATACAAGAAGCTATCGAAGCCTTATCACAGCATCTTAACTGCCTCATCATTTAGAGTCATTTACAAAGTAAACAAAAATCTACCAATGACAGTGTGTTTCCTTGTACTTCCTTGTACTGTAAAAGCCCTCGCCGTATGCATTAAAAAGCGGGAGCTGTGTGTTCAAAAACAAGCCAGTTTAACCTTTTTACACTCATTAAGCATCTGGATGAGTATATTTCCTAGGGTCTGGTTTCCATGCTAATCCCATTCAGGCATTTATTGGTAATAAAATATTTTCAAATCCAATGTAATGTTGTTCCTAAACCCCTAGTAATTTATATTCATACCCTCAAACTTTTATATCAAGTTGTAAATTATTATCGACCTTAATCTCCTTCGTTATGAAACATAATTAAATAGTAGTTGTTAATTGATATTTGAATGATACTCAGTATAACTGTCTAGTTATAAGTATAGGTAGATTGAAGTTCGATTGATGTCACACAATTCCATGGTCGGATAGTGGATACCGTAGAGTGGAGCTAGTTAGCGTAGAGCAAAAATTGTTATTTTGTGATGGAATTGTGTTTGAGTGAATCCAAGGTAATTCTTACCTTGGATTATCTGTAGGATGCGTTAATATGTGATTCTTGTGGATAGAGAGAGACAATCCTTGATCCCATTTGATTCTAAGTACTCGTTTTGTACTCTGAACGTTCCCATGACTGTCTAGCTGTCTGTCAGCACTGTTGAGGTGATTTTGAATTTTTAAAGTTATTGTTGAATAGAACAGTTGAACCACACGCGTAGATTCCAACCACGAATTACCAATGTTTTTGTGGTGTCTTTGAAACGTTTTGTGAGTACGCGTAGAATGTATGTATTGATCGATTTCCTACGTTCAGACCCCAAAAATTTGCACTGGTCGCAGTAGATAGAATCACGTTTAAAAAACAAGATATCACATAGGCTAACTTTCATGTCAAGTTGAAAAATACTATCGACTTTAATATCTTTGATTACCTTACAGAATTAAATAATAGTTGTTAACCTGTCAGCCAATGTATATAAATGCAATTGTACAGTTGAGTTTGAGAATGATGGTGACAAAGAGATGATATCTTTGTCAGACTTCTCGTTCGGATAGGTATTGTCCACGATTTTATAGAATTCAGTCCACACCAATGAAAGCGCTAGACGCATGATACTAGTTTGCGTCGAATTAAAAAAAAACAATACACTACCTACTAATGAAAGTAATGAGTCTGTTGGTACCAGTACATTAAATTTTGGTATCAGCCAAGAGTAAGGAAGTATAAATAACAAGGTGTGCTGCGTTTCCCTATTCAAATTCTGAAAATCCCTATTGATTTCATATTAGATAAGTAATACAGACTCAATAACTGGATGACGATATTTCGGGCACTACTCACAGTCATATCGGTTTATCCACATGGTTTCAAGATTTGCTTTATTTAATTTTTCTCTCTCCCTACTACCCCTCTTTTGGTGATAGTAACTTTCTGAATATGAGTACAGCATAGACTTTGTTTTATTTTGATTGCACACCTGCAGTGTTGAATCGAGAAACTAAGCTTCCGTGATTAACCCGTCTTTCTCCCTCTCTAACCAACTACACAACTATATTACTTTTTTAATACTTTAATCCCCTGTCCCACCCAGCCTATTGTCTGATTACATTCAATTTAAAGTATTTTTGTGACTGAATGTCTTCCAGGTTATTTAAACTTAGTAAGATCCATTGTTGTTCTAGGCTAGCTACATTTCTATGTCCTGATGGTTCTAATTGACCCCGATCTACTAATTGTTTAACTGTCATTACGGCGTGTTTGGTAAATTATATTGTTTTTTGCTTAATTGGATCTATCTGCTTCTTAAGCTGAAATAGTCTGCCTCCGAGACGGTTGGTTGGGTGGTTGGTTAGTTTAAATGCAATCCTAGTTTCACCCTCAGTGAGAATTCTACATGAGGCTTCTGACAGCCCTTCTCCAATACAGCTGTACTATAGAGGCTTTGAATTCTATGTTATCCTGTTTATGTTATTTTTGTCATTCCTATCAGTAATCTTCGTTTTCTATGGTTCTTGATACATTTCTGAATAAATTCTGGTGGGTAGTTAGTTTTTCACTAATAGGGTCTTCTTTATTTGTTCGATTCCATTATTTACATCTTCTGGCTTGCCAGTTAGGCTCGGTTCTTGATCATATGAAGACTTAACGAAAACCTGCTTAAATTCTACACTTACATGAATCCCTACTAATCTTAATCCAGTTCTTCTTTCTCCACAAGATATTCTTGTTTATTATAGTTTAGTTACATTTTTATTTTTGTTCCAGCGAACATGACAACTTGAACTGATATGATTACTGTCGGCATACTTAGAACTTGGGCCACCACAAAAAAATAACCTCCATCCCTTGATTCCATATAGTTTCTCCTGTTTGCTTTGCTTTCATCGATTAAAATAGGCCGTTCGATGATATTATTTACCCTTGCTAGCAGTTTAATTGTCTGCAACCCTGTTGATTCTCATGTCTCCACTAAATTTGAGGGAATACGTAATCGTAGGGGGGGGGTTGGTTGGTCGGGATAACTGTTGGGGATGACACATGGGATAACTGTTCTTAAGTTACCTCATTGCGTTTCACAATAACATTTAGAAAACAGAAGGACTGAGCGATGAAAGATTTACTTTTCAATTAGATCCTCATTTCTGGCTCTACTCTAATATACACGTATAGCATTTTCAGTACAATACAAAACAATTTACCAGTCAAGTGCCACTGATATGTTTGTTGATAATAATTAGGCAGTAGCAAAATGCCAAGCAGTGGGGTGATAATTAAAGAAGAAAATTAATACACACAAATACAAAGTAGGAATGGTTGCACCATTTGGATTGCGCAATGCATAATTTCGGAAAAATGAAGAGGAATTTAGAAATAAGTGTGTGCACAGGTTGATTACGTAACAGATTGTTGATGAAGTAGTCAGAAAAGGTAATAAAATAATTTGGGAAATTATAATTTTTAAAGGTTTAGGGGAGGGAATCGAAGTAGTCCGTTTTATACATTCATGTAACGATAGCCGAGGTAAGGAAAGTGGTTGTACGAATTTCTTCTGAACACACACAGGTATGACTTCTTCATGTAGATTCCTATTGCTTCAGCTGTATGTAGGAGACGAGCTTGTAAAGCAAAATTAAGGATAGTAGGAATGAGATAAATAATTTTAAATGCTCTGTTCACGTCAACCTTATGCTCACTGTCTGCAAGATGTGCTAAAATACAGCTACCAATAGATCTTGTTTGTCCCTTGCTTAACCATGCTACTGAATGATGTTCAGAAATACGATGATGAACCTACCTAATTGTACGTCCAATGTAGCTGGTTCCTCAGCTGTAGTCAAACTGGTAGATACACATAGAAGAGGCAAATTTATGTAGTTTATCCTTATTTCTCGAACGTAGAATATGAGTGGTTGTGAAGAGACAACGTACCTCTGCTGCATAATAAGCTCTTTTAACTGCATTTTTCAGGCACTGTGTTATTATGTCGCTCCTCTTTGAGACAATTGTCTGAACAGATTAACCTAGCTTCATGAACCAGACACTTTAGCGGGTTACGTATATATTTCATAGGCCACTTAAAAAGCATTACGCCACACTGCGAAGGGATTAAAGATTGTAAGTAGAGTACTTTGTGTGCTATTAAGTCAGCTCCTTAGTATTGTGCTTAAAAGACACTTGAACCCATGTGAGAAATGGTCTCAGTCCATAGTGTCTCAATATCAACACCTGATTCTCTATTCACAACTCTTCGCCTCTTCTTGCACCTAATCAGGTAAGGATATCTAGAAACCATTATAAAGGTTCAATCACAAACAACCAAGTAAAAATGCTCAGCAATAAACTCTTGTCCCACTGGAGGTCTATATGATAGCGATAGTGCCAAGTGTAAATCTTACGATTTACTGTGTAATTAGCACAAAAATTGGGGCTTAAATATTCTTCCATATTTGTAATTTTATTGTGACACTATACCCATTATCTTGTGATTTTGGGTTGTTAATACAAATAAAACCATTACTATTGGCACTTTATATTTGCATATTTTGACCTTACTGTTTCCGCTAAAGCCAAAG